AAATGTGTCTGATTCCAAAGGGGTGACAAAAGCCTTACAAAATCTTTCCTGCACGAAATACAAGCTACCAAGCCTTCTACACCTGTGTTGTCCCAACAGGAGCATGTCAGTCACAGGTATTCAAATGGCAGTGATCTAAGCTTTCACACGTGGGCTACCCCATGTTTCGCAATAATTCCAGCAATTATAGAATTAGCGCGACATGACAAGAGATGTTTCAAAGTTGCAAGATTCCTCTCTACTGAGGAAACCGACACAGAAATACAGAAAAGGATCCAAAGCCTCCTCTCCTTGTTCTGCTGCCCTGTCTTGTCACAGGTCCCACGTTAATACGACTCCAAGACAGTTTGCTACCGTCTTGAATGAAAATTATATTTAAATTCCAAATTAAAAGTATTGGCAATTAAAAGATGGGCTAGAATGACAGAAAAAAAAATCCACAGAATAATAAACTTAGAACAAACTTGTGCGTTGAATTGTGTGTGTCCCCCTCCCCCCAAAATACAAAACATGTTGAAATCCTAAACCCAGGTCCCCATCTTAGCAGGTGTCATCAAGCTAAGATGAGGTCATATGGGTCAGGGTGGGCCCTACTCCAGCGACTGGTGTCCTTGTAGGAAGAGGCAAATTTGGACAGACACACACGTGGGAGAGCGTCATGTGAAGATGGAGGCAGAGGTCGGAGAGAGGCAGCTAAGCGCCAAAGGACACCAAACACTGCGCACAGCCACCAGGGGCTGGAAGAGGCAGAAAGGGCTCCCAGAGAGCCCTCAGAGGTAACAGGCCCATCCCACACCGTGATTTTGGACTTCTGTCCTCCAGAGCGGTGAGAGGATACACGTCTGTTGTTTAAAGTCACCTAGTTTGTGGTCATTGATTACAGAGCCACGGGAAACTAAGAATTCAAAGATCACCAACCGACGAGAGAAGGAAGCACGGAGAGGCTGATCACTTGCCCACGGTCATGTGTGCGATGCTGCCAGGCCCCTGCAGTCAGTCCCGGATGCCTCCCGCTACACCCACCTCATGCACAGGGAAACGAGGATGGTTGTTTTAAAAGGCGACCTGCCCAGAAGGAACAGTGGTGCAGTGCTCAGACTGTGCAACTGGACAGACCTGATCTCTGTGCCAGCTCTGCCACTCACCAGGGTGGCCTCAAACAAATTACTTGGCCTCCCCGAGGCACAGTTTCCCCAACTGAAAATTAAGTCAAGTGATTGTACATGCGTCACAGGGCTGTCGCTTGGATTCAATGAGGTGATCTGTGCAAAACGCTTACCAGTGTCCAACACGCCTGAAATAAAAGTTAGCTTTTTAACACTGAGGTTGTTAATGATTTCTCTGACTGTCCCTCCAAGTTGTCTTGAGTGGATGTCTTGGGCTGTCGGCCTTTCGAAGTCCTCCTTCATCTGATCTTTGATGTGGAAGTCTTTCTCTCAAGCTCAGGAGCTGTGACCTTTTGCTCAAAGTTGCTGGTGAGACCTCACTTTTTGACTTTGTTCTTTTAACCCCAGTCATCTTTCCGGCTTTCACTGTCCTTAATAGTTCACCATCTTGGTTTGTCCCATGCAATTTCTTCTGGCCATCGCCTTCCTTTTTTTCAGCCTCGCTGGCAGTGAGCTTAATGTAATTTGGGGACGCCGGATGGCTTACTGTCGGAAAAGACAAACTCCTAAATTGCATTAGGCTCGGTTTATATTTACAATCCCAAGTCTTCCAAAACACTGTGTGCTGCGAAATGATAATCAAGCCAAAGCATCATGATTAAAATGTGAGTCCTCAACACAATTTCTTAGCTTTTCTACATGCAAATGTTTAAATATGAATATCATTTTGCAGCCTGTTTTATGCACATTAGTGGAGATGACAGAACCCCTTTCAGTAGAAACCCCCAAAGCTTTTCTGAAGCCATCACAAAGTACAGAGCTGCGCACCTTTGGCATCTTCAGTGGGATTTATTGTGGTCTCATGAAAGTCTTTTTCTTTATCATGGAAATTGCTATAATTATAATCACTTTAGAACACACCATTATTATTATTAATAAGGCCAAATTGCACGGTTCAAACAGATGCTGGTTCTCTGCTGTTAGAAAGCAGGGGGAGAATGGCATCACACACCCAGCGCTCATCTCCATGCCAACGTGGTCCTGCCACCAGGGCTTCTGGGCAGACACCTGGGGCATCTGGAAGAGTGGCAGGCAGAGCAAAGGACCCCCAGTTCTTGATTAAAGCATTCAGGGATGAGCACACACGATGGGAGAGCAGGGGTCTGTGGAGCTCTGGTCCCTGCAGCGTCTTCGCTCACTTTCTCTCCCATGCGTACTTGGATCCAACTATTATGTCCTGCAGAAAGGGGCAGGGATGGGGGCACAGCAGGGATGGGAGAGTCCAACTGTGGTCCTTAACACATTGAATCCTTGACCCCTTGGAGTGTGAGGCTCAGGCACCTCTGGCTGGAACGGGCAGCCTGAGGCCAAAGCCCAAAGCCAGGAGGCACGGAGGGCGAGGAGCAGCTATGTCGGGGGTTCGGAACTTGGGTTCTTGAGTCCAGCTGCCTAGGTTCGATTTCTGGCCCGCCCTCTCTTGTCCTGTTGCCCTGGGCAAGTCATTCAACCTTTCTGAGCATCAGTTGTCCCATCCCCTGAATGGGTGGAAGATCCGCGAGGCTGTTGTGAGGACCCTCGGGGACAGCCCACTTACACCACACAGCACAGAGCTCGCCAGGAGGGGACGGAGCCCACCACACTTTGACTATTGCTTAATTCTCTAAAAAATCCTTGGTTACTTACTGCTTGAATTTACAATTCCATTTTTCTCTCCACCTGAGCAAGTTTTTGTTTTAGGCTTCGGAGAATCCGCAGAAAATAAATGCATGACTCTTGGGCGTGATTAAAGCAGGAAAGCTCGCTCCGGGTTCAGAAGTCGCCCCAGGGCTGGCTGTCCCTGTCGTCTGCTACAAACACCCTGCTGGTGGTCAGGACATCTCACAGGGACACCGGGGAACAAATGAACCCTAATGCGCTTGTCGCTAACACCTGAGAGTTTACAGTGGGCATTTGGAAATACATATCGTTATAAAGCAGCTTATTACTAAATCAGGCCAAGAAGGGACACGGAATATTTCATTTCCTGTCAAACATAAAAAGTAAATCTGGATTGTTAAAAAAAACGCCTTCCCTGGAAACATGCTAATATTTAACTGAGAAGTAACCTTGAATGAACCACTTCCTTGGCCAAGGTAAAAAGATATGAGCGTTAGCACTCAATACATTCCTGTTAATTAAACTTCCTCGTTTTCAAGTAAAGGTCAGTGGATTAATTTAATAAAGACAAGCTATTATTCAGGAAATATTTTTTTGGTTTGTGTTTGAGAGCCCAAGAGCCATGGCTTTTAGTTCCTCTTCTTCCCCTGCCTTCCCCTCTTTCCTTGTATCACAGCCCAAGTCGACTTTACTTTTAGTAGAGAGAATGCCCTTCCACTCAAAAATCAACCTGAGCTTTTCTTCATCAGGGACACATTTCCCAAATGCAGAGTCATTTAGGGCCTGTTCCCAAAGGTTACCCTTAGGCCACAAAAGAGGTCCACCCTGAGCATCTTGTGAAGGGGACCAGTCCAGGGCTCTCCCCACCAGCACATGCTCTCACGCGGAGGCCTTTCCCAGCAACAGCAGGATCTTGTGGTCAAGATAAGCCTCCTCAGCTGACTCCCCCACCCCCCACCATCCACCCTGCAGATGTCAAAGGCAGCACTTAGACAAAGGGGTACTGGAATCAAAGTTTGGAGCAGAACACGTTTTTGAAGGTTTTTAAAAACTAATTAAACAAGTATAGAAGTTATTCAGCTGAGTTTCTTTTTTAAAAGCATTAGCATGGCATATCTTCCCTCTTAAGAAAAGTCTTGAATAATTTAATTAGAATTACACCAAAGTCATGAGTCTGTTCTATTTATGGGGTAATCACAGTTGAATTAAAACCCAAATGACAATGTAAAAATAAAATATCTTCAGACAGTGTATTCAACTGATAAGAAACGCTTGTCTTCAAATCACACTTAGGTTATTAGGTAGTTTTGGAAGGAGCCCGAGGTCCAATCGACCCCTGCGATTTTGTTTTTCTCAAGATGACCGAGTCTGGTGACATTTGTTTTTTTTTTTCCTTTTTTTGCTACAAAAACTGCTAATAAATGAAAATCAGAATAAGAGAAAAAGAAAGCTGTTTGATTTTATTTTGCGTCGAGAGGCCACTTGGCCCCGGGAAGCGCAGCTCAGCCCGTTTGTTTCCCCAGCAGCTCTGCTGCGTTTCAGCCTTTCCACACACACAGGTGCGCAGGCACTTCGCGCGCTGCCAAGGGGCTGGGCGGCGGGACGCGCCGGCAGGAAGCTGAGAAGCCGCCTCCGGGAGAGGAGGGAGGCGCAGGGCGACGCGGCTCCCGCCACCCGCAGCTCGCCCCTCCGAGGGGGCTGCTCTTAGCGGCGCTCAAATTCCTTTCCCGGGGAACTGCGCCCTTGGAGGCCGGCCACCGGCCTGCTTAGCAATGAGACAGCACGGGCGGAGGGGTGGGGGAGGAGGGAGAAGAGGAACGCAGAGTGACTCCCGGGTAGTAACGGCGTCGCGCCCAGGCACCCCCCGGGCGTCTCCTGGCGGGCGGAGGTGTCGCCCACCAGGAGGAAACCCCCTTAGAAGCAAGTGAGAGGTCCCCTGTCGCCCCCAGCCTCACGGAGGGAGGCAGCGAACAAGTTCTGAAACACGTGCACCCCCCCCCCCCGGGCTGCGCCCCTGTCCGGGCGTCCACCGCTCCGCATCCCGAGCGCTCGCGTCCTGCTCCCAGCGCAGCGGAGCCCTCGGCTCCTCCCGCGATTTGGGGACAGAACCAAGCCGCGCGGAAGCACCGCTGGGCGCTCGCAGGAGCCCTCCAGAAGCCGGCGGGTGCAGCCCGGGGACCGCAGGGACGGCGGGGTGCCGGCCCGCGCGGTGGGATAGACGGGAGCCCATCGACCTACCTTCTGCGGGGGGGTCCCGATCAGCACCTCCAGGTAGTAGCCGCGGCCGGAGTCCCCCTGCAGGTTGTCCACCATGGCCAAGAAGTTGGCCGCGCCGCCGGCGGGCTCCAGGGCTAAGGCCAGGCCGTCGGCGCGGGGCTCGGCGGGGGGCCCGGGCCCGG